GTTAAAAGTGGAATAAGCTAGTTAAAGGTAACAAAAAGCTAGTTAAAAGTGGCAAAAAGCTAGTTTAAAGTAACAAAAGGCTAATTTAAAGTAACAAAAAGCTAGTTAAAAGTGGAAAAAGCTAGTTAAAGGTAACAAAAAGCTAGTTAAATGTGACAAAAAGCTAGTTAAAAGTAACAAAAAGCTAGATAAAGTGGCAAAAAATTAAAAAATGGCAAAAAAAAGCTAGTTAAAGGTGGAATAAGCTAGTTAAAGGTAACAAAAAGCTAGTTAAAAGGGGCAAAAAGCTAGTTTAAAGTAACAAAGGCTAGTTTAAAGTAACAAAAAGCTAGTTAAAAGTGGAAAAAGCTAGTTAAAGGTAACAAAAAGCTAGTTAAATGTGACAAAAAGCTAGTTAAATGTGACAAAAAGCTAGTTAAAAGTAACAAAAAGCTAGTTAACAGTGACAAAAAGCTAGTTAAAAGTAGCAAACAGCTAGTTAAAAGTAGCAAACAGCTAGATAAAGTGGCAAAAAATAAAAAATGGCAAAAAAAAGCTAGTTAAAAGTGGAAAAAGCTAGTTAAAGGTAACAAAAAGCTAGTTAAAAGTGGCAAAAAGCTAGTTTAAAGTAACAAAAAGCTAGTTAAAAGTGGCAAAAGGCTAGTTTAAAGTAACAAAAAGCTAGTTAAAAGTGGAAAAAGCTAGTTAAAGGTAACAAAAAGCTAGTTGAAAGTAACAAAAAGCTAGTTAACAGTGACAAAAAGCTAGTTAAAAGTAGCAAACAGCTAGTTAAAAGTGGCAAAAAATGAAAAGTGGCAAAAAAAATCCAGTTAAAAGTGGAAAAAGCCAGTTAAAGGTAACAAAAAGTTAGTTCAAAGTAACAAAAACCTAGTTAAAAGAGGCAAAAAGCTAGTTAAAGGTGGCAAAAAGCTAGTTAAAATGAGCTAAAAGCTAGTAAATGGCAAGCTAAAACTAGCAAAAAAGCTTGTTAAAAGTGGTCAAAAGCTATTTGAAAGTGGCAAAATGCTAATTACTAGTAGGCAAAAGCGTGTTGCAAGTAGACTGACAGATTTCATCAAAGAGGACGTGCATGTTCTGGGACTTCAGCATGAACAGTGAGTCTGTCTGCATCAGCACACCTGTCAGGTAAAACAAGGACTCTGTGGTACCTGTGACCCTCTCAGCTGGTCCAGGTGTGCCAACAAGTTCACCTGCTGAGATTTTAAAACATAGACCAATATCTGCGTTTTGACTCCCACCACCCACTGGAACACAAGTTAGGAGTGATCAGGACTCTGTACCACAGAGCAGACAGTGTCCCTACAAACCCAGGAGC